AGGTGGAGCTGGGGGTGGCTTGGAGGCGGTAAAGGTGAGTGTAGAGAGGATTGGTGGTGGTGCCCGTGAGACTTGTGGGGAGGTGGAGCTGGAGGCGGTGCTGGTGGTGGCTTCGGAGGCGGCAAAGGTGGAGGCGCGGGAGGAGGATTAGGTGGTGGTGCCGGTGGAGGACTTGGTGGCGGAGGTGGAGCTGGTGGCGGCTTCGGAGGTGGTAAAGGTGGAGGTATAGGAGGAGGACTCGGAGGTGGAGGTGGAGCTGGAGGTGGAGCTGGTGGTGGAGCTGGTGGTGGATTTGGAGGCGGCAAAGGTGGAGGAGGAGGATTCGGTGGTGGTGCCGGTGGAGGTGGAGCTGGAGGTGGCGCTGGTGGTGGTTTTGGAGGCGGAAAAGGTGGAGGAGGAGGATTCGGTGGTGGTGCCGGTGGAGGTGGTGCTGGAGGTGGTGCTGGTGGCGGTTTTGGAGGCGGCAAAGGTGGAGGTGTGGGAGGAGGACTTGGTGGTGGAGGTGGTGCTGGAGGCGGTGCAGGTGGTGGCTTCGGAGGTGGTAAAGGTGGAGGTGTAGGAGGAGGATTTGGTGGCGGTGCTGGTGGAGGACTTGGCGGTGGAGCTGGAGGAGGTGCTGGTGGTGGATTTGGAGGTGGTAAAGGTGGAGGAATTGGAGGAGGATTAGGTGGCGGGGCTGGTGGAGGTTCTGGTGGTGGGTTCGGCGGAGGCGGTGGAGCTGGTGGAGGAATTGGTGGCGGATTTTGATCCTAAAATTTAAGTACTTATAAGTTACATAGAGTTTCGTACGTCCTGCATGGGCTTCTCCATGCACGTGCAGTTTACTATTTTCCGATTCCTCTAAGCTTAGCTACTTACTCAACAATCATAATAATAAATGCAGATCAGCAAGCGTCCGCATTCTGGCCAATGAACTTATTTTACGTAGATATATATATTCATGATTATAAGATACACATATATATGTAAGAAAATTAAACTGTCAGTAATCTAATTCGTTTGTCTTTAATCTGGTGACTGTGTCTGAAATTTTGAAATTTTGATCCGTCCCGAATAGAAAAAATTGAATGCTTTAAAATGAAATGTTATATGTTAAACCCAATAAATCAGTTGCTACAAACTTTGAGCCAAGCCAAATAATTGGAAAGACCGGCCCCTGATTGATCTATACATATATATATATATGTTTTGTGTACTACAGGTACAAAACCTCCGAAAAAACGAAAAGGGTACAGATATATATCTGTGTATGTATATATATATGATGTAATTAATTAATAAAAATGGAATTAGATGGTGAGTTCCTCAGCTTGCCAAACAGGGAGCCATTGGTTGCCATTAATGAAACTAATAGACAAGAAAGGAGCAACCTCTTCCTTCGTGAGTTGCTTTGACCATGGAGCTCTTCCAGCCGATTCAGCTCCCGGCCCGTGACACTTGTACTCCGCATGAAACAGCTTCCTATTTAATTAATTAATTAATTAATTATTAATTAAACCCTCAACATGAT